TGCGAGCGGGGAGGGGGTGGGCTCAAGCGGATTACCTGATGGTCCTACCCCAAGGGTCAGGGATTGGCTATGGGGTCAATTTCCAGTATATTGATTAACCTGAGGGGTGGTACCTGGGCAGGGGCAGGAGCTACGTGCAAGGAGGCCAGTAGTGCTGAATCATCTGTAGCCATGTGGAATGAACATCTCATTGTTGTCTGGCATCGGGTGAACTCTGGTGTAATCCATTCAGGGTGGAGACCAGGTGTTAGGGCTAGGTAATGAGTTTCTGTGTTTGCTGTAGGCCCTCTGTTTGCATAGACATGATGAGCTGAAGACTCTGGGGCCCCTCTGGAACACTGTTGCTTCAACAGATTATTGACCTCAGCTGGCAACATCTCTGGGTGCCCTCAAGTTCAACTCTTTATTTCACAGTCTCTTTTATTAGCCCTTTGCATTAAGCTTTATTTCATATATCATAACTCAGAAATAGCCCAATATGGACATCTGGGCTAACACCCTGTTCCTATACGTGAAAGTTTGAGGCACTCTCCAGTTAAGCCTCTGGGTGTTTTGTACTCAAGGTGCTTTCCGACTCCGGGATTCCAGGGGCTCCCCTGGTTAAGGCTAGATCAGCACTGTTAATCAGGAGGTCTCCAGGCTAATAAGCCCCCTTTTGTCTTAAATCTAATAGACTGTCGTTTGCCACAGACACCAGCTGTTTACAGAAAACCCAGCAATCCTTTTTGCCCTGCATACAAGAATCCCAGCCCTTCTACCAAGAAATCTGTTTTACAAAGTGTCCTTCGGGATTTCAGTGGCTATTTTCTTCCAGCAGAAGAATTTGCAATAGTCGTGTTGCTCCCAGTAGCTAGGCAAAATAGTCACTTGCAAACTGGAAAACAACAAGGACTTCAGCTGAGGCCTGCTCTGTTCAGGGCTTAGAACATAAGAACATAAGAGACGCAAATGTTGGATCAGGCCAAAGGCCCATCCAGTCCAACACTCTGTATCCCACAGTGGCCAGAAATACCAGGTGCCATCAGGAGGTCCAGCAGTGGGGCCAGGACATTAGAAGCCCCTCCCACTGTTGACCCCCTCCCAAGCACCAAGAAGACAAGAGCATCACTTGCCCCAGAGCCCCTATCTGTACCTTGTGGCTAATATCCACTGATGGACCTCTGCTCCATATGCTTATCTAATTCCCTCTTGAAGCCGTCCATGCTTGTAGCTGCCACTACTTCCTGTGGCAGTGAATTCCATGTGTTCATCACTCTTTGGGTGAAGAAGGACTTCCTTTTATCCGTTCTAACCCGACCGCTCTGCAATTTCATGGAGTGCCCACGGGTTCTTGTATTGTGAGAAAGGGAGAAAAGTACCTCTTTCTCTACCTGCTCTTTCCCATGCATAATCTTATAAACCTCAATCATGTCACCCCTCAGCCGTCGTTTCTCCAAGCTAAAGAGCCCTAAGCGCCTTAACCTTTCCTCATAGGGAAAGTGTTCCAACCCTTTTATCATTCGAGTTGCTCTTTTCTGCACTTTTTCCAAAGCTATAATATCCTTTTTAAGGTGTGGTGACCAGAATTGCACACAGTATTCCAGATGAGGTCGCACCATTGATTTATATAGCGGCATTATGATATTGGCTGATCTGTTTACAATACCCTTCCTAATAATCCCCAGCATAGCATTGGCCTTCTTTATTGCAGTCACACACTGTCTCGACATTTTCAGTGAGTTATCTACTACAACTCCAAGATCTCTCTCTTGATCAGTCTCTGCCAGTTCAGACCCCATCAACGTGTATTTATAGTTAGGATTTTTGGCTCCAATGTGCATCACCTTGCACTTGGCCACATTGAACCCCATTTGCCATGTTGACGCCCACTCGCCCAACTTTGACAGATCCCTTTGGAGTGCCTCACAATCCTCACTGGTTTTCACCACCCTGAACAACTTCGTATCATCCGCAAATTTAGCCACTTCACTGCTTACTCCCAACTCCAAATCATTAATGAACAAGTTAAAAAGCAGTGGACCAAGTACTGATCCCTGTGGTACCCCACTGCTTACACCCCTCCACTGGGAGAACTGCCCATTTATACTCACTCTCTGTTTTCTATTAATTAGCCAGTTTTTGATCCATAAAAGGACTTGTCCTTTTATCCCATGATTTTTGAGCTTACTTAGGAGCCTTTGATGAGGAACTTTATCAAAAGCTTTCTGGAAGTCAAGGTAAACAATATCTATTGGATCCCCCTTGTCCACATGTTTGTTCACCCCCTCAAAGAACATTAACAGGTTAGTGAGACAAGATCTTCCCTTACAGAACCCATGTTGAGTCTGCCTCAATAGGTTTTGTTCATCTATGTGCCTACTAATTCTTTCCTTAATAATGGTTTCCACCAATTTACCCGGTATCGACGTCAGACTGACTGGCCTGTAATTTCCCGGATCTCCTCTGGAACCCTTTTTAAAGATGGGAGTGACATTAGCTACCTTCCAGTCCTCAGGAATGGAGGCTGATTTTAAGGAGAGATTACATATTTTTGTCAGGAGATCCACAAGTTCACAATTGAGTTCTTTCAGAACTCTTGGATGTATGCCATCTGGGCCTGGTGATTTATCAGTTTTTAAGTTGTTTATCAGTTTTAGGACCTCCTCTCTCGTCACCTCAATCTGACTCAGGTCTTTCAACACCCCTCCCGAACTCAGCGGCTCTGGAGTGGGCAAGCACCTCTCATCTTCCACAGTGAAGACGGAGGCAAAAAATGCATTTAGCTTCTCAGCCATTTCCCTATCATCCTTCAGTACTCCTTTTACCCCTTGGTCATCCAAGGGCCCCACTGCCTCCCTGGCTGGTTTCCTGTTTCTAATGTATTTGAAGAAAGTTTTATTGTTGGTCTTTACATTTTTTGCTATATGCTCCTCATATTCCCTTTTTGCATGCCTGACCACAGACTTGCATTTTATTTGCCATAGCCTGTGTTCTGTTTTATCAGCCTCACTGTGACTAGCTTTCCACCGCTTAAAGGAATCCTTTTTACCTTTTACAGCTTCCATTACTTTGGTTGTTAACCATGTAGGCTTTTTCTTATACCTGTTTGTGCTTCTCATTTAGAATCCATCGAATTATGCAGAAAGCTAGAGCCATATGGGAGGCAGGCATAACCTAAAGTCCTTAAACATGAGGAAGAACTCCCTGACAGTTCGAGCGGTTCCTGAGTGGAACAGGCTTCCTTGGGAGGTGGTGGGCTCTCATTTATTTTTTTATTTATCTATCACTTTCGATTTGTATCCCACCTTGCCAAGACAAACTGGAGTGTTTTCAAGCAGAGGCCAGATGGCCCCATCGGATAGCCATGCGGATTCTGTGAACTTTGGCAGATCATGAGAAGGGAGGGCAGGAAGGGTCGCCTCAGTGCTTCGTCCTCGTGGCCCCTTTCTGACACACAGAGGTCATTGCTGATAGCCGCTTTGGGGGCCAGGAAGCAATTTTTCTCCAGGCCGGGTTGGCCAGGGATCCTGGAAGTTTTTGGTCAGAGAGCCAGTTTGGTGTAGTGGTGAAGTGTGCGGACTCTAATCTGGGAGAACCGGGTTTGATTCCCCACTCCTCTACTTGCACCTGCTGATGTGACCTTGGGTCGGTCGCAAGCTCTGGCACAGCTGTCCTTGGAAAAGGGCAGTTTCTGTCAAGAGCTCTCTCAGCCCCGCCCACCTCACAGGGGGTGTCTGTCTGTTGTGGGGAGGGGAAGGGAAAGGAGTTTGTAAGCCGCTCTGAGACACCTTTGGGTAGTGAAGGGCGGGGTATAAATCCAATCTCTTCTTCTTCATCATCTTCTGGGCATGGAACAGCGGCCACTGCGGGTGTGAAGGGGGAGGCTTTTGTGAATTTCCTGTATAGTGCAGGGGGTTGGACTAGATGGCCCCAGAGGTCCCTTCCGACTGTATGATTCTGTGAAGCTGAGCAAGGGCGGAAGCCAGAGGAATTCCCCCAGAGGAGCAGGCCCACTACCCCGCGTCAGGGGCCCAGGGGGAGCACTTCTGCACCTCCACGTCCTTGAGCCGGATCTCAGCCTCTCTTCCTTTCTCCCTCGATCTCAGCTGCTCGTTCTTCCCACAGACACATCCCTGCCCCTTCCCCTCGGCTGGGGGCTCGGACAGAGCTCTTGCCTAATTCTTCAGGCCTGTCGAAGAGACGCCTACAGGAGTCAAGGGGTCACCAGTCCTCCTTTCGGGGTTTACCTTAAGAATTAACTCTGAGGACAGACTGAGCCAATGTCAGGAGAGGCTAAGCTTGTTGACATCCTTAAAGAGCCAAACAGAGATGCTTAACTTTCCCAAAGAACCACGGAGGCATATCTCAAGTAGCCTGCGTTGATATATATATATATATATATATATATATAGTTCTGATCCACCAGGGCAACTCTCGTGTGTCTCCTGCGCATATGAAGGTCTGTGATGTTCAGTGGTGCATCTCGATTCTCTTTGATTTCCCATGTGACTGTCTCTGTCTCTCCTTCTCCCCCCCCCAGGGAGAAGCCCCTTCTCTTCACAGCCAAGTGACTGGAGGCATCTTTACGCAGTCAGAGGTGACACTAGAGAAGGTGAAGGAGATGGAAGAGCAGATCCCAGAAGGACCTGGAACTGGCAGGACAGCGAGGAAAGGCCCCCATCCCACCCAGGCTGGGAGTGGTGCTGAATCCTGGGAGAGCCCAGGGCCAGAGATCCATGATCAGCTCACTGCAATCTCAGACGTGCGTTGCCGATGCTTCCGGCAGTTCTGCTACCAGGAGGCTGATGGGCCCCGAGAGGTTTGCAGCCAGCTCCACGGACTTTGCAGCCACTGGCTGAAGCCGGAGAGGCACACCAAGAACCAGATCTTGGACCTGGTGATCCTGGAGCAGTTCCTGACTCTCCTGCCCCAGGAAATGCAGGGCTGGGTCAGAGGATGCGGGCCGGAGACCAGTTCCCAGGCGGTGGCCCTGGCCGAAGGCTTCCTCCTGAGTCAGGCCGAGGAGAAGAGGCAGGCAGGACAGGTGAGGGGGATTCCCTCCAGAGATATCCCCAATTCAAGCAAGGATATCTGGCCTTATGTTCAGGTTTCCCTGGGAGATATTTGTCCAAGTGTTAATCACCCAAGTGGGAGGTTTAACGGCCTCCTTCAGCAGCCTCTTCCACTGGAGAATTCCTGATCTCTCCAGATAACTCACCAGGTCTGCTGATGGGAGGGTGCAGAGTCTGGGAGTGGGGCAGGATCCATTCCTTGGCCTCTTTCCCATTCCACCTCTTACCCCTCTCCCTCCCTGCTGTTTCAGATGTGGGCACCATCCGTGAAGAAAGAAGCGACATTCCCTGAGGCGGAAGGGCAGAGAACGCAGGCCGTGGAGCATGCCCAAGATGCCCTCTCCTGTGGTAAGGACTCCTCGTGCCTGGATACGATCAGGGCACCCAGTGAATTTGATGGGTAGAGAGTTTTGGTCAGGAGAAGAATTAAATACTTCTTCATAGAACACAGAGTTAATTTGCAGCACTCAGTATCCACTAACTGTGATGCCTCGAAAAGGAGATTAGACAAAATCATGGAGGGCAAGTCTTCGCATTTATTAATCACATCTCAGCTTCTTTCCGTGAGAGGAACTCAAGGTGGCTGAAAAGAGAAAAGGCAGGCAGAGCTCTTCAGCCTGGTGAATGAAGGGAGCCTCCACCTTCCGGGGAAGCAGAGCTCTGAGAACCAGTCCCTGGGGAAATTTGGCTTCTCTGCCCATCCTTAAAAGGGCACCTGGCAGGCTGCTGGGGGAAACAGGATGCTGAAGTAGGGATGGTGGGCTGTGGATGGCCCAACACCCCCAAATTCTTTGGGGGAGGGTCTCTGGGGAGGGGCTTGGGGCAGATGTGGTGTCCTGTTGACGTCGCATCTGCCTGAAAACCCCCCTTGTGAAGTCAGCATGCCAGGAGAGACTCCAGAAGCTCATTCATGGGTCCCCTCTGTTCTCCCCCCCCGCCACACTCAGGTCTCTCAGAAGTCTGAAATATGTTGGCAGCATTTATACTCCCTGAGGCTCAATAGGTACCTGGTTCTTTTCTTTTACCTTCCCAGAGTTTAGTAAAAAGTGTTTAAAAATAGGTTGAGTGTACACAGGGCGAGGTTTCACAACCAAGGGAAGGGGGTGCGTGAAGCAGGGAACCAGCAAGCAAAACTCCCTCCCTCCCTCCTTTGTCTCAGGAAGAGGCAGTGAACAGATGCCGTTGAGCCCTCGCCTTCGCAGAGGTGTGGAAACAGCTGCTGCTCCCCCAGTCCAGGTAGGGGAGATGAGCGGGGGGGGGTCAGCCAAGGTCCCTCCTCCCTTCTCAGGGGGGCTTCTGGATGAGAGATCCTCTGAATGCGGTTCCCTTGACCCCCATCCCAAGCCTGACATCCTGTCCCTTCCCAGACTACTCCCTTCCCGTGTGCCGTCTCTGACGAGGGAATCTGCCTTTTCTTCCAGGGCCCCTTTTCCTTTGAGGAGGTGGCCGTGTATTTCACCGTGGCAGAGTGGGCCCTGCTGGATCCGGGACAAAGAGCTCTGTACAGGGACGTCATGCAGGAGAACTACGGGAATGTGGCCTTTCTGGGTAAGGGTCTTTCACAGGTGCCAAAGGTGCAAATTGCTGCCATTGTGAGGAGGCATGAATCAAAACGTTGAATAGCAGCACACCGTTCTGAGGCCTGTCCCGCCACTTGGGGAGGGGCTGTGGCTCACTGGCGGAGCATCTGCTTTGGCATGCCGGAAGGGCCCAGGTTTGATCCCCAGCGTCCTCAGTTAAAAGGAACAGGTGGGAGGGGATGTGAGAGACCTCTGCCTGAGACCCTGGAGAGCTGCGGCCAGACTGAGCTGACAGTGCTGACTTCGATGGGCCAAAGGCTTTGATTCAGTAGAAGGCAGCTCCACGTGTTGTTCGTGTGTGTGTACTTGCTCAGCGGCCACTGAGGCCAGACTTGTGGCCATCACCCAGGCCGGAGAAGGTGTCTCCTGGCCTGTGGCAAAGGGGGGGATGAGAGATCCCCAGAAAGACCCTGGAAGGGGCCAGGTCCACATTTCTCTGCTGCCAACCTTTACAACACACCCTTCCCCCTGGATGGGATTACAAACATCTGCTCTGCCTGTGTTCTGGAAATGCTCATGTCAAGAACCGAAGCCCCCTGGGTCCTCCTGGGTCACTATTCTTTCTTCCTGAGCAGCACCACCCAGTTCAGTGGGTTCATGAGGAGAGTGCAGACAAGTGAAGGAGATATAAAGGTTTATTAAGGATTTAAAAGTAAGACATCTCTAAACAGCGCAGTTTCTGCAGCTCAGCAACAGAAAACCAAGAAAAGCTAACTCTTGTATCTAGCACATGAAATACTTGGTATTAGACGCCATTTCTTGTTGCAGCACAGGTATTCCAGCTGTAGCCTAAGTTACTCTACAGAAAACTATTCATTGGGATGAAGGAAGAAAATACCAAGGCATACATAAGAACATAAGAGACACCAATGTTGGATCAGGCCAAAGCCCATCCAGTCCAACACTCTGTGTCACACAGTGGCCAGAAATACCAGGGGCCATCAGGAGGTCCACCAGTGGGGCCAGGACATTAGAAGCCCTCCCACTGTTGATCCCCCCCAAGCACCAAGAAGACAGAGCACCACTTGCCCCAGAGCCCCTATCTATACCATGGGGCTAATAGCCACTGATGGACCTCTGCTCCAGATGTTTATTCAATTCCCTCTTGAAACCGTCCATGCTTGTAGCTGCCACCACTTCCTGTGGCAGTGAATTCCATGTGTTAATCACTCTTTGGGGTGAAGAAGTACTTCCTTTTATCCGTTCTAACCCGACCGCTCAGCAATTTCACTGAGTGCCCAGGAGTTCTTGTATTGTGAGAAAGGGAGAAAAGTACCTCTTTCTCTACCTGCTCTATCCCATGCATCATCTTATAAACCTCAATCATGTCACCCCTCAGTCGTCGTTTCTCCAAGCTAAATAGCCCTAAGCGCTTTAACCTTTCCCCTTTCCTCTTTAACCTTTCTTGGCATGAGCATAAAGTTAGCCTGGCTTCCCTCTGGCCTGTACCCATATTATACTTCCTGCCTCTCTGTGCCCAGGTGGTCTTAGTGACCCAATCAACAAGGGTCCTCCTTGACGGAACTTTATAGAGGCTGCCAGCACCCTCCTAATCCCCCCTCCCTCCTGGTTACATGACTGGACGCAGGTTCTCACAGTTAACCAATGACCACATTCTGGAGTCTGGTCTTGAAAAAGATAAAGATGTTAACTGCAGGGAGACTCAAATAAGGAACACCCTGCAAGTCAGACCAGGCCACTTAAGAATCACATTAACCCCTTGGGGGAACTAGCGTGCTTTGTCTCCAGCGTTCCATTCCCCTTGTACTGATTGGGATGGTGGGCTTTGATCTTCACCATAGTTCTGTCCTTCCAGAAAAAAAATTCCTTTTAAATATCTTTCCTTCCCCATATAAGAATGATCACTTTCTCTCTCTCTCTGTCTCCCCCTGTGAAAGAAGCCAGAAGTATAAGAGAGACTATGGTGCAGACAGACAACAGCCTTCCACTCGAAGAAAGGCTGGAGAGTTCCTCAAGAGGGTCCCAAGAGCATATTTCCTTCCCAGATGAGCTGGCTGAGAGTGAGTATCCTTCATGGTTATGTCAAGGGAACAGGCAAGCAACAGCCAGGGGGATTCCTGATTCTCTTCTAAGCAACATTTGGTTTGGGACAATCATGTCGCCTCAGAAACTCCTTTTCAACAAGAGCTCAGCTGTGGTTCTTGAGGGGGTGAGGTATCCTTAAATACTATATATTTTGGACAAAGATGGAGGGGTGTTTAAAATCAGCCAAGTAGGATCTGGCTAAAGAACCGTCAATCCTTTCCTCCTGCAGTCACATAATATGTCTTTGGACCGAACCAGCCCACCCTGATGCTAACAGGATCTCTCTACTTATTCCAGCAGAGGATAATCAAAGGAATGAGGAGGATGCAGAACTTCATCACCAACTGCCAGATATGGTTAAAAGTGAAGACTTGAAAGAAAACGTCAGGAATCAAGGGAGACATAAGAGAAAGAAAGGCAGCAGTATGATTGATAAGAGGGATGGAAGACAGCGTAATGTACATTTTGCAAAGAAGAGGATAATGAAAGCAAGTAAATCCATTAAACGTGGAAAGTACTTCAGAAATCGATCACAGCTTCTTGTGTACCAAAGAATACAAACAGGCAAGAAACCTTTTGGACGCTCAGAATGTGGAAAGAGATTCAGTGAAAGTGGCACTCTTCAGCAGCATCAGAGAACCCACACTAGGGAGAAACATTTTGAATGCTCAGAGTGTGGAAAGAGATTCAGTCACAGTGGCACTCTTCACTGTCATCAAAGAACCCACACAGGGGAGAAACCTTTTGAATGCTCAGAGTGTGGAAAGACATTCAGTCACAGTGGCAATCTTCAAGTGCACCAAAGATCCCACACAGGGGAGAAACCTTTTGAATGCTCAGAGTGTGGAAAAAGATTCTGTCAGAGTAGCAGTCTTCAATATCACCAAAGAACCCACAGTGGGGAGAAACCTTTTGAATGCTCAGAGTGTGGAAAGAGATTCAGTCACAGTGGCACTCTTCAAGTGCACCAAAGATCCCACACAGGGGAGAAACCTTTTGAATGCTCAGAGTGTGGAAAGAGATTTAGTAGCAGTGGCAATCTTCAACGGCATCAACTAACCCATACAGAGGAGAAACCTTTTGAATGCTCAGAGTGTGGAAAGAGATTCAGTCAGAGTGGCAATCTTCAAGTGCACCAAAGATCCCACACAGGGGAGAAACCTTTTGAATGCTCAGAGTGTGGAAAAAGATTCTGTCAGAGTAGCAGTCTTCAATATCACCAAAGAACCCACAGTGGGGAGAAACCTTTTGAATGCTCAGAGTGTGGAAAGAGATTCAGTCACAGTGGCAATCTTCAAGTGCACCAAAGATCCCACACAGGGGAGAAACCTTTTGAATGCTCAGAGTGTGGAAAGAGATTTAGTAGCAGTGGCAATCTTCAACGGCATCAACTAACCCATAAAGAGGAGAAACCTTTTGAATGCTCAGAGTGTGGAAAGAGATTCTGTCAGAGTGGCAGTCTTCAATATCATCAAAGAACCCACAGTGGGGAGAAACCTTTTGAGTGCTCAGAGTGTGGAAAGAGATTTAGTAGCAGTGGCAATCTTCAACGGCATCAACTAACCCATAAAGAGGAGAAACCTTTTGAATGCTCAGAGTGTGGAAAGAGATTCTGTCAGAGTGGCAGTCTTCAATATCATCACAGAACCCACAGTGGGGAGAAACCTTTTGAATGCTCAGAGTGTGGAAAGAAATTCGGCTCGAGTTGCAATCTTCAACTGCATCAAAGAACCCACACAGGGGAGAAACCCTTCGAATGCTCAGAATGTGGAAAGAGATTCAGTCAGAGTGGCCATCTTCAAATGCATCAAAGAACCCACACAGGGAAAAAACCTTTTGAATGCTCAATGTGTGGAAAGAGATTCAGTCAGAGTGGCACTCTTCAGAGGCACCAAAGAACCCACACGGGATAAACTTTTTGAATGCTCAGAGTGTGGAAAGAAATTCAGTTGGAGTGGTACTCTTCAAAGACCATCAGAGAACCCACACTGGGGAGAAACCTTTTGAATGCTCAGAGTGTGGAAAGAGATTCAGTCACAGTGGCAATCTTCAACGGCATCAAAGAACCCACACAGGGGAGAAACCTTTTGAATGCTCAGAGTGTGGAAAGAGATTCAGTCAGAGTAGTACTCTTCAATTAATTCAGAAGTTATATAAGTTATTTTTGGTGGAATACGAGCAGGATGAAGCGGTGAAAAGTTTCATGATCATGTGGATGCAGGATTTTGGATATGTTATCGAAGGTTTTGTACGGTCTAAAATTTGGAAGTCTGTGAAGTATTTAAGATCTATTCCATATAAGGAAAATGTGTACAAAATGTTTCATAGGTGGCATCTATCACCAGATAAACTGTCAAAATATTATCCTACTTTGTCTAGAAATTGTTGGAAATGTAAAAATAATGTGGGCACCTTTTTCCATACTTGGTGGAGGTGTACCGAAGCGCAACGATATTGGTACAAGGTACACAAACTATTAGTAAATATATTAGGGGTAGAAATACCCCTAATTCCAGAATTGTTTTTGTTAAACATAATACCAGATAAATATAAAAAGGAAGAAAAATGCGTTATTATATATATTATCACAGCAGCACGTATTTTATATGC